TGCCTCCGCCGGCACGCGGCCGGTCGGTCGGCGGACTATGAAAGCAGCCAATCTCGTTTTGAGAGCGCTCGCGCACTCAGTTGCTCTCCTTTCATAGGTTCACGGGACAAAATTTGGCTGAAGGGAGCTCTCCCGATGGTAAGCGGTGTCAGTAGTGTAGGAGATTAGCTTGGAAACCCCTGGTACCTTGAGTTCGGGTACCGTCTGATGGCGATCTGTCTACAACGCCTTTCTCTTCTTGTGAGGATACATGCCAGGAATTCCTCTGCTGAACTTTATAACCATCTCCTTACAGTGGTACATGGCAGCATGTCGACGATTCTTGGCGTTACGGTACTTGCGTTCATCAACTCGTACATGGTTCTTGTCTTTTTCAAAACAATCTTCCTGGTGCTTACCATCGGTCAGTTATCGTATCTTGCCTTCAATCTCCCAACAGTTGCTCTCATGATTAGATTTTTCTAGGTGTCTTCCATGCTCTCGTACTCTTACCGATTGTACTTGCCGTCACTACGCCGTACGTGGAACGACTTAACTCTCGTCTTCAGCGGCGGTCTGATGAGAAGAAAACCAAGGCAACAACCTCAAAAGGCAGTGTCTATGCTGTAACAGTCCCGGTTAATGTATCCTGACAACCACTTCACTTACCAGAGAAAGATTTTAGCTCTCAATGAAACTTTGATTTAAAGCTAGAACTGATCTCTGGTTGGGTGTTGTGACTGTTGTTCATTACTTGTACATAATTTATATTGCAAAAATGTTTTGTTGATATCGTTCAGTAAGTGCAAATAACACAAGATTGAATAAAGCTGTCAGCTGCTCTAACTGTTACAGATGGTTTCATTAGTGTCACATAAACAGATATAGGAACTGTCAGCAGAGCTCTATAAGGGTTTCTCGGGTGCTGCTGAAAGGAACGGTTCTGATCTTCCCGATGTCCACTTTAGGTCAGTGTTGGGGAGGAATAGTACATCGGTGACGAAGGAAGCGAGAGGATTCCAGATTGTTCAATGCATTCTTGAACAATAAATTGCTAATCCCAAGTTTCTACGCAGTTTGGCTCACACACTGACAACTGAAGAAATCCTTTCCTTCTTTTTTTCACTTTCACTAGGTTCCCATCTATTGCAATAATTAATTTGAGCAAACATTACATATATTTGGAATATTTTAATTGCTTGTAGAAGGCCTACCAAAACAGAAGTCTTCCACCATGAGGATACTTCAGCTAATTCAATCATAGATATTTATGGGGAATTGCCATAAAATTCGTATTCCATCCCTTTTCACTTGTGACGAAATAGCATTCAGAAGAGCGAGATTCTGAAAACCCTTTTTTCTGTTCACAAATCTTCATATAAAATGCCATAAAAATGATGGTATTGCATTTCACATTGCCCAAACTAAAAGATTTCCATTAGTCTAAAATGGTTTTTTTCTAAAAGCTGTGCGCAATCTGTATACAAAGCTTCACCCATCACCTTATTCGTTCCCGCTCCACTGTTAACCATGAAGGCGGCCCTACCTTTCGCTTTCCTTCTCTTCGTATCGTTGTCAACCGTGGAAACTGAAAGAGGTAAGTACAAAATCACCGTTGTGAGCCTATTCACCTCACCACGAAGTTTCCAAAGTGAGTAGTAAATTCTAAAAAAAAAAGCAAAACCGAAGCAAAAGCATAGAACAGTATCTTCCCGAGGCTGTTTTTTATTGCTCTTTTTTGAGGTTCTACTCAAAAAGAAGATGGAAAAGACGACGGAACCGCCTTTGATTACGATGACGAGGGTATATACTAATTCTCTGGCATTGAAAGAATAACTACTGTATTTTCTAAAAGTTCTGTTGAAGAAGATGATGATGCCACAATATCGCCTATGCATCCCAGCGGGACTACTCATGGATACACGGAGAAGGGTATAAACAATGAGAATTGCGTACAAGAGAGTAATTTCTGTTACGGAAACGTCTTTTATTGTTTTTTTTTTCAGGAAATGATAATGAAATTCCTAGGTATCCCAGCGCAACTACTCCTGGATACATACGGAAAGGTATCTACAAAGTAGGAGCCTACAAAGGAACGATTCTTTGAAATTTTTTCTATTGTTGTTTTAGGTTCTACTCTGGAAAGGGTTATAGATGAAGTGATACCTACGTGGCCTACAGTAAATACGCCTTGGACAAGGGTATCAAAAAGCAAGGGTTCACGAAACCAAAGGTCCTTGGAGCTGTTTTTATCGTTGTTTTAGGTAAATGCGTGGCCAACAACAACTACTCCTGGTTACCAAGAAAGCGGTACAGGCTAGGCAGAAGCAAACAAAAAAATGTTACGGAAACTGTTCCTTACTGTTGTTCGAGGTTCTATTTGAAGAAATTCTGCAGATAAAACGTTACCTACAAAGCATTCTGCATACGCCTGGAAATGAATAAAAGGGTATCAATAAAAAAGGGAAAAAGTACATAAAAGTTCTGAAAAACTGTTTATGATCGTTGTTTGATTGTTGTTAGGTTGCCTTCAAGTATATAATGATTGGCCTGGATACGAAGGAAGTGGTGTAACAAAAGCAAAAGTCCATGGAAAAATTTTGTAGACTGCTTTTAAAGGTAGTTATAGGTTTTGGTAGAGGAAATAGTGCAGGCGACAACCCACCGCCCACGAGGCCTTCAGGCTCTCCCTATTGGCGGCCCGGATAGGAGGGAAGAGGTACATACAAAAGCAAGAATCTACAAAAAAATTGCGATTTTTTCTCGATATTAGTGTATGTAAATATAAGAGAGTGTGAAGCAAGAGTGATGGCAGGTGAATCACTGATCCATCTCGCATTTTCCTCGGTTCAATTCCCAGATTGACCCTTGTCCAGTCCAGCGAAGCCTTCCAACTTCCCCTTCGATTAGGTGGCATCACACTCGTCTCAGCGGACAAATACCTCGGCTGACCATCGTCATTGTGTAGGCCAATACACATTAAAACGTCACCACGATTCTTAGCGGTAGTCGGGTGTGTAGGCTCATCCTAAGTATGGGATTGATCAACGCCAAAAACTTGATCTTCATTTTATAGAAGAAGAAGAATAAAATAGCCTAATAATGCTGTACTATTTTATCCTCTATTAATTTGGCAGGTTTCAAACATTCTTCATTTTGAGCCGCCCATTCGATCATTTTCGGAGCCCTGTAGAGATGATACAAATTTTATTCGATTAATTGTATTCAAATGAATGTGTGCACCATCTCACGTCATTCCAGAGAAGGAACAGAGACAAAAAGTTCTTTCTTTGAAGTTGGGATACATGACCGTCTTTGAAGGCACCGTTCACGATAAGTTAGGGGTCTCCGGTATTTCACAGATAGTGATGGGTAAGGCCTACATTAGGACAATGGTAAGGCAAAACGCGAAAATCAGCGAAAAAAAAGAAATATAAACGGCCAAAAAAAGAGAAAAAGGGGTTGGACGAGTTTCATAATGGAAAAACGGCGGTTAAGGGAATTTTCAGGCGAGTAGACGGATGCGACGTACTGTCTGCCATTGC